CTCGCCTCCTCATTGTCTCTGTTTTTGTATGCACGGGCCAGGCCAATAGCTCCCCTTCCTCACGCCTCCTTCCTCGCTCATTGCCCTTGCAGCGCAGGGCACTGAAACTCCAGTGGCCTATCTGGCTGACAAGGACAACCACACGCCCCTTTGCTAAGGGCTTTCCAGGAAACCACGGTGAAGCAGAACTCAGCTTCAAGGCGCAGGGAACGATCCCCAGGCTGTGAGTGTGTGCGCATGCTGTTACGCCCACTTTAATAATTTCATGTGCACCTGACACTCGGCAGGAATGGTGACCCCTCGTGCCAATTCCCTTTTCATTCCCAAGGCCTGAGCATTCCACCGAAGGCAAGGAGTTTTTAAAGCCCCTCAGGAAAGCAAGGAGAAATCTTGACACCAACTTAAAAGCTCTACTCACCCAGCAGGAGCCATCATTTTTCTATCAGCGCGGAGACCTTGCCTGACGAGTGGGGCCAGGCGCCCTGTCCGTGGCTCAGAACAAAGAGATGAAACAAATTAAGTGTGTTAGCAGGTGAGGAGGGCCAGGGGACAAGCTCACTCAAAGCACTCGGCAGCCCCAAAATGACTCTGCCAAAGATGAGGAGGACAAGGCTAGTCGGAAGACATTGACTCCACAAGGGCGAAGTGACCCTCCTCACTTATGGATGCTGACCATTACCAGGGCCCACAACCCAGGGCTCTGACTCACAGGCTCCTCAGAACAAAACCAAGAACCAGCTAGAAAAAGTCTTGGCTAATACCTTCTAGCAGTGTCCTACCGGGTTCACTGGGCAGAAGATTTTGGATGTGTGAAATCTATGCGTACAGAACAAGCAACCAAACAGATAGGGTGAAATGGTGCTTTGTGGGTGGCCAGAGCAGCGCGCCATAAAGCCTTCATAGCTGTATGCACACAGCCGCTTGAGCAAACATTGAGATCTATTAATACTCTAAAATAATAGCCACCAAGCTTTTCAGAAATAGACCATTGGAAACATAGAAGAAAGTGAAGTTGCTGCCCAAAAGGAGTCCTTGCATTACAGGTATTTTCTTCCCACAGGCTACGACAGGGGCCTTGCTCAATCCCAACTCAGTGAACATTTCAGTGTTCGATGTTAAGCTCTCAACTGCATTAGGACTAATCGAGAAGGGGACCAGCAGTTGGCCTAATGGCTGTGTCACTGGACTCCCATGAAGTGGACCACGATTCAAGTCCTGGACCTGATGGCTTAAACTTATGCCAGACACGTGTGTGTGCATGCCCAAGATCCTGAGAGGAGAATGAAGGAGAAGGGATTGTGGCATGGCCATCCCCCCTGGGGCACAGGGGGGGTGATTTCTTGCTTTCTGTCTTTCTGGCGAGCGCATGCACCCTATAGTAAAAATCGCTCCCCCCCCCCAAAAAAAAGACTAATTAAGAAGATTAAAAGTATTTCTTCATGGGGCCAGCAGGTGGAGTGGTGGTTAGGACACTAGACTCTCACATGACTGAGCACAGTTACAGTTCAAGTACTAGACCTGGTGGCTTGCTTTCTCACTCCCTCCCCCCCCGTGAGCACATGTGCCCTCTAGCAAATTAAAAAATAATAACAAATAAAAATTAATATAATTTTTAAAAAAAATATTTCTTCACTGTCTTCCTCCTAAAAAAGAAGTCGTTGGCCAGCCACAGTGGGGCATGGTAACACAGCCCTCTGTAATGCCACAGGAGACTCCGGGTTCTTGTCCTGATGTCTTCCTGTGCATGCATGGTGTGTGCACACATGCCCATGGCCCTGGCGACACCCAGGGTGAGGACCTCACTGGGGGAGCCCATCTTCTCCTCTCTCTCTTTCCTCTGTCATGGGTGAAGTAAATAAACTCTTTAAAAAATCAGTAATAATAATAGTAACAGCCACTGTTTCCTGCATACATATTACCAATTAATGTTTTAGGGACTTTACATGCATTATTTCCCTTCACGCTCATCCTCACAACAACCCTGCTAGAGAGAAATAATGTCTTAAAAAAAAAAAAAAAAGGTGAGGAAACAAGCTTAGAGAAATCAATTTCTCCCCCACAGGCCACACAGCCCTACAATAGTGGAGCCAGAATTTAAGTCCATTTGTGCCTGAACCCTCGGTCCATTCTCTTCACAGTATTCCCACAGAAGCAGTACAGAGGTTCACCATCTTTCTGAAGTAATAGTTACCTATAAAGATTTAGGAGAAGATATTATTTACATATTAAAATAAACATGGACATATTACACACAGGGAAATCCCTATGCTTTGCTAACAGCATTCAGTAAGTGTCATGCTTTAGGTCTGTGATTCGGGTCATCATCGAGATCTCTGAGAAGATGGTCTCCTCTTGTGTGCAGTCAGGGTTTCCTCCATCTAAGAGCTCCAGAAGCCTAGCCCTCTTTGCCTCTTCACAAGTAATCAACCAGCAAACTGAGAACATCAAGGCACTAGGTAGGGATTTCTATTTTTTGCTTTTAATTCAGGCTTGATTCCTTGCGGGGAATCTCACCCCACAGTACAGCAACTAGTGCACAAGGGAAAGTGGATGATTGTCTTTTTTCATCCCTGTCCCCCCTGCTGGCTTGGCTTTGAGTTCTGACACAATCCTACAGAGATCCTTGCAGGAGAATGAGACATTTTGATTTGTTTGTTGATTTCCAAAGCAAATCCCTGGGAAATACCACAGCAATTGTGTTCCAAGCCACCTGAGTAAAATGTTTTTACTTATTAGAACACCATCTTTGCAACAAAAGGAAGCCGTGCAGAAGATGCAGAGATCACAGGTAAGAGAGCCCGGAGTGGCTCTGAAAGTTCCTGCTATTTCTTGCAATGCACTCATGTGTCATGTTTAGGAGGGACATGAAGGGAATTAAGTGGGGTCATTTGAAAGAGCATGACTCCATAAGTTAGGCCCCATTCACAGAAAAGTCACACACGGTCTAGGTCTGGACAGATAAGTACCTTTCAGAGAAGGACGGTGTCTGACAAACGCTGCAGGCAAGCGTGTCATCTATTCTCCTCCCTGCAACCTTCTGGGTAAGCGCTATCCTCATTCATGCAAGAGGAAAACAAGGCGAGAGACCAGGCACTTCCCCAGGTCACTGGACTAAAAGGGAGCGTGGCCGAGCTCAACTGGAGTTGGACTCGGTCGGGCCATCAGTCATGGACACTTTTTAGACCTAAAGCTTCCCTCAGCATATCAGTCAGCACATTCTGATTTCTGACCTAATTGAAGTCTCTCACACCCCTTAGAAGTGGGGAAACAGAAGTCAATGAAGCAACTGCTTGAGTGTCTGAACCCCTGAAGGGCCAGGACAGGGGGTGGTAGTAGCCTGTGACCCCAGCATGGATGATTCCAGAAGCTTACCCAGAAGTGCTGCAAACCCTATCCCAGCCACCTGCCCATGCGTCTGCCACAATGACCTGAAGGATGATAGCTCCACCTCTCTTCCACATGTGAGCCTCTGATTGGCTGACTATAACTCCGAGCCAAGCAGGGGGAAAGAACACACAGATGTGTACGTCTCTGTGTCTCTCCTGCAATGCAGAAAGGAATGTCAAAGAGGCAGCGATGGTGTTGAGTTGATCAACGCCAACCAAGCCAAAGTGGTAAATACAACGTGCACCTCCAGTTGATAATCCCGATCTACAGGCCTGGGACTATTAAAGGAATTCTTTTTTAAGAAACAGATACCACTATTGTATCCTTAACCTATGAGTGAATAAGAACCACTGAAAACTTAGTGGCTTAAAACCACCACCATTTGCTTGGCTCAAGATTTTCTGGGTCAGCGATTCAGGCTGCACTCAGCTGATCCCTCTGTGCCTGTGGTCAGATTCCATAAATCTGGTGCCTCTTTCTGGGGGTTGGGAAGCTGTGGGCTGGGACAGTAGGGAATCAAGGCCACATTTCTCTCCCCTTCCTGCAGACAACCCAGACATTTTTCCAGGGAGGCTGGTTGGATCCCAAGGGTGAGAACTGAGCTGAAAACCCTCTTGGTGTCCAAGCTCGACATGGGTGTCACATCACTTCTCCACATTCTTCTGGCTAAAACAAGGAAACGCCTGCCCACGTCCCAAGGGTAGAGACACAGACGGGGCGTGCTGATGAGAGCAGCTGCCCGGTCAGATTCCAAGGGGGTGATACACACTTGGGGCACATCAGTGTGATTTTTGCAGGCATCTACACTACTTAGTAAGGCGGGGGAGAGTAAAGTAAAGAGACTTCAATATGTTTTTTAAACCCCTTGGAGGACTTTAAGGCATGAAAGTATACTGTTCATCCACACAAAAAAGACAGATGTGTGGTGTTCCCTCCAACCTAGACAGCTGGTTTTGTGCACATGGGGGGCCTGGTGCAGAGTCTCTGCAAAACAGCTCTGCCCCACTGTGAATCGCAGCTGGAATCAGGGAAGACGCCTGTTTTCATAATTTAGGGGTGAAAGGCCACCCGAGGGGCAGACCTTTTTCTGTGGGGACGAAGCCCCAATTTGCAGCAGGGCTAAGGGGACATAAAGCACCAGATGGTCCTTCAACCTGTGGGTTTCAGCCAGAAAGACCACAGCGTGTGATCCAACAGCCTCCCTGAAGTCATTACTGCTTCAGAGCCGGCTGAATTGCTCGATAATAACGATTCTTTGCACTTATAGGATGTGTTCCCTCCAAGGAGTGCCAAGTAATTTACAATCACTTATTAATTAATCCTCAGCCCCCACATGAGACAAGGAGAGGTTATTAGGCGTCTTTGACAGATGTGTGAAGTGGGTAAGGGAGACGAAGTGACATGAAGTTTCTGCCCAAGGTCACCACGTTGTCAAACTCACTGGACACAAGCCCAGTTCCACGGACCTCACCCATCACGTCAGATGCCTCTCCCCCAGGGGCAGCGAAATTCCTCGGAGCCACTGCAGAAAAGTCTGAGCTTTCTGGATCGACCGCCAGGACTTTGCCATTTTGTTTCGTGGGGGATTTTCCATGGTTACTGCTGTGTTTTCGGTTTGGGTGTTGATGTGCAGTTTTTAAATCTAGCATTCAGGTGTCCGGGAAGAGCTGGTTCTAATTGCATTACTTTTACACTTTGTTCACAGAGACGTCACTTACCCAGGGAGGAGGAAAGCTCTCCAGACTGGGACAAGATGCCACAACAGCTCACAGAGTGCGAAAGAGGGACCGAGGAACGGGGAGGGAAGTGTGTGTTGTCTCTACCAGTGCCTGGTATTTTCACAGCAATGTCCAATTAGGGGATAAATGCAGGTTTGCTTTTCTAAACAGAATGCACTTACCCCAACACTCAGCTAAACTGGAGTCCACTTCCCTCAGCCGCTGAACCAATTCTCAGGGCAAGCCACGGACTACAGAGGATTCTTTGTGGTTACTTTCAGGCCTCGTCTCCAATTTATCTGTGAAAGGATCTCCTTCTTAAGTTTGTGCTTTTCCACACATACAAAGTCTGACGGCTTGAAAATCAAGCCCGATGGGTGTCTAGTGAGTGTGTGCCCAAAGTTCCAAGAGGAAAAAGGTAGAGAAGGGATTATGGTGTGACCATCCCCACCCT